TTTTTAATGTAGAGACTTAGAAGCGGAATTGCTGGGGAGTAGTGACAACTGTTTAACTGTTGGAGGAACTGCTGCCCTGCTCTTCCCATGCTCTGACAGTTTGAGGGAACTGACTTTACAGTCTTAGCAGCAGTGGCTGGTGATCTTGCTTTCTCCACATGCTCACCAGTACTTCCTGACGTTTGCTTCCAGCCAGCCTGTGCAGAGAATGTGGCGTGGTATCTTACTGCTTTGTGTGTTTGAGAATCAGGGTCTGATCATTTGTTACCCCACCTACCAGGCATAGTAGAATCTGTCAGTCCAGGAAACACACAACTCACATTCTCTCTCTCAAATAAGCAAATGGAGAGTACTCAGATTGGCATCGCCAATGCATCTGTGAACAGACTTGTGCTTCCTCTCCCTAGTTCTTACTCAACAGCAGACACTTGGCTTCACAAGGCACCTTGTTTGTCTTTCCCACCACTGATTTGGACCATATAACCCGTTCCCTCTTCTCCTAGAGCATTAGCAGCTACCTCTGTGACTCTGCATTTCTCAAAGAGTATGAAGTTTGGATTTAATGAGTTTCTGACATTGGGGGCCGGGAAGGAGAGATAATCAACTTTATCTTGTCACAGCCTTGATCACCTTCGAGGCTCCATGATAAAAGCCTTACTGTGGTCTTTTTTTTTTTTTTTTTTTTTTTTTTTTTAGCTTTGGAGTCTGTCTTGGAACTAGCTCTTGTAGACCAGGATGGCCTCGAACTCACAAAGATCCGCCTGCCTCTGCCTCCCAAGTGCTGGGATTAAAGGCATGCGCCACCACTGCCCGGCCCTTACTGTGGTTTTGATTGGTATTTCTCTGATGCCTAGTGATGATGAGTATCCTTTTGTATGTTTGTTAGCCATTTATGTGTTCTTGAGGAGATTCCATGTTTATCAGTTTTATTTTCATTTTTAATTTTAAACTTTAAAACAGGGTGTCATGTAATCTAAGTTAGCCTTAAATTTAGTATGCAGCTAAGACTGACTTTTAAATCTTTTTGAAAATGTATTTATCCTTACATTTGTGTGTGTGTGTGTGTGTGTGTGTGTGTCTGTCTGTCTGTCTGTCTGTCTGACTGACTGCTACTTGAAAGTAGAGAATAACCTGTGGGGAGTCGAATTTTCTACTATTATATGGAACTTAGGGATTGAACTTGGGTGTTAGGCTTGGTGGCAAGCACCTTTATCTCCTGAGAATTTTGCCAGCTGATCTTGAATTCTTGTTCTCTGGGCTTCACTTACCAAGTGCTTGGATTATAGGCATGCGCTACTGTGGCCAGTTCTTTGACTATTCTTAAATTGGGCTGCTTTTCCTTTTCTTCTCTTTAATTGTTTAGTTCAAGAAGTTCTTTATTCTAGATAGAAATTCCTTCTCAGATAATATACTTCTCAAGTATTTCTCCCATTTTTTGTCACTTGCCTTCATTTGACATAATACATAGATGTAGTAATAGAGAACTACATTTGATTATATTTAAAAAGTACAGTTAGTTTTCAAGTCAACTGTGCAAAGAACATTCCTGCTTGCGTAAGCACTGTGCCTTTTTATGCTAGTGGGACTTATCTCAGTTCCTATTGCTACTGCCAAGTCTGCCTTTCAGAGAGCCCACTAGGCCAGCTAGAATGTATTTGAGCTTAGCTTTTTTTAAATTTTTGTTTTGTTTTGTTTTGTTTTTTTTTTCAAGCCTACAGCACCCGGTATTCCCAGGCGGTCTCCCATCCAAGTACTAACCAGGCCTGACCCTGCTTAGCTTCTGAGATCAGACGAGATCGGGCGCGTTCAGGGTGGTATGGCCGTAGACTTGAGCTTAGCTTTTTGAATCCCGTCCTCCTTCTGTTCTTGTTACTCCTGTTTCCCTTCTTTTGAGAACTTGAGCTCATGCTTAGGTATCACTTTCTTTTCCTGCTTCTCCCACCACCCTTTGCCTCTGCTCTGCTATGGAAGGAGGTACTGACCTCAGGCGTCTGGGTTCTGTCCCCTGAGGACTCAAGCTTTTGAACTCTTGAGTTCTTGTTGCTATTCTTAGGGCTAGGCTCGTTCTTTCCTAAGCCATTCATTACTCTGCCCATTCCTCCCAGTCAATGTGTTTGTTCGTCCTCCTTTTTGGTGTGGGTGTTGTCTTTAGAGCCTTGTGTAGATTTGTCTTTTGGTAAGTGCTTTATCAACTAGCTTGCCCTTCGTTTTCTGATTGATGACCTTGTGGTTTTATATGGTTACCATGGGACAGAGTGGCAGGAGTCTGATTTCACCTTGAGACTTAAAGTTTAACTTCACATTAAACAAGCATTGTGGCTAGTAATCAGAGATGTTGCAGACCATCTATTCTGTGGAGATATTGTGATTTGCCTAGGTCTTTCAGTGTAGTGACTAATGTTACTGAAAAGTACATATAATGCACAGATTGATATACTTTGATTTGTGCTAGTATCAGCTACCCAAGTTACCAGCTGCTGTTTATTAAATAGTACCAACATGAGGTAATTTCCCCAGAGGAAATGCTTATTAGTGAAGTCTGACTTTTTTGAAGGGTTTACCTCATAAACAGTGGTTTGAAGGAATAGCTGTTTATTTTGTTTTATTCAGTCTTCAACTTTCTGGATTACTCAGGAGAGCAATTGTAACCAGTTAGTAGTCTTTGTCAGAAGACCACACATCTAACTTGTAAAGTATGTACCATTCCTAATTTTACTGAGATTATAACTAGAAGAGATGGTGGAGTGTTGTTACTTGTCTGTACCCCCTCTTTATTCTAAGGAAAGCACCCCTTCATAGTTCTTCGGTAAACATTGTTAGCTGCTTTACTGGCATGTTCTCCCTTGAGCTTGTCTATTTCCTTGCACCACCTGTAGCATGTACAGATAACTTGGTGCTTTGTGCTTACATGAGCCCATTAACCTGGTGTTATCATTGGGTCTTAAGATCTTAGGGAGAGGCATTTTGTCCCTGAATGTTCAGTCTCAGCAGAATTTATTTATTGATTAAAGATTTCTGTCTCTTCCCCGCCCCCGCCTCCCATTTCCCTCCCCCTCCCCAATCAAGTCCCCCTCCCTCATCAGCCCAAAGAGCAATCAGGGTTCCCTGCCCTGTGGGAAGTCCAAGGACCACCCACCTCCATCCAGGTCTAGTAAGGTGAGCATCCAAACTGCCTAGGCTCCCACAAAGCCAGTACGTGCAGTAGGATCAGAAACCCATTGCCATTGTTCTTGAGTTCTCAGTAGTCCTCATTGTCCTCTATGTTCAGCGAGTCTGGTTTTATCCCAGGCTTTTTCAGACCCAGGCCAGCTGGCCTTGGTGAGTTCCTGATAGAACATCCCCATTGTCTCAGTTTGTGGGTGCACTCCTCGCGGTCCTGAGTTCCTTGCTCGTGCTCCCTCTCCTTCTGCTTCTGATTTGGACCTTGAGATTTCTGTCTGGTGCTCCAATGTGGGTCTCTGTCTCTGTCTCCTTTCATCGCTTGCCTGGAACTCACTCTGTGGACCAGGTTGGCCTCGAACTCAGAGATCCACCTATCTCTGCCACCCAATTGCTGGGATTAAAGGTGTGTGCCCAACACCACCAGGCTAGCAGGAATATCTTATCTGTTTTTTTTTTCTTTGTGAATTAAAAATTTACCATTATACGGGCATTTGTATAAATTGTGTCTAATGATGGCTGCAATTTAATTGCAAAGTTTTTGTTTTCCAAAGCTTTATAGGGATAGGAGCATAGCTCAGTGGTAGTGTGTTTGTGTGGAGTGCTTGAGGCCCTAGGTAGTTCAGTGATGGAGATTATCTGACAGATGTAGGGCTCCTTTGATCTGGTACAGGAGCCCTAAGTCCTGGGACCAGCGGGGGCCATGGGTGGTGGTTCACATCAGTATTCTAGAAAACCTTAACCCTTTGTTGCATTTTCTAGGATTGAATGAAATTCTCATAAAAAGTTATTAGAGTTTGTATATTCATATATATCATTTGCTAATTGAACTGTCTGGTTTTGCCCATTAATTTTATGCCAGCGTCCTTGACTAAGAACCTCAGCTAGGGGAAAATGGTCATTTTATGATAGTTTCTTCATAATTGATATATGCCAGTATAAAATTGATTGAGTAGGAATTTATATACATGTTCAGTACTGCTATAATGTTTGACACAATGCTTTCTAGTGACATTTTCATTAAAAATAGTTTTTTCATGTTGTATACTTTGATCATATTTCTTCTCCCCAAACTCTTTATATTCTCTCAACTGCCACCTGTTAATCATATTTTGTCTGTCTGTCTATGTGTGTGTTTCATAAAACAAAAACCAAATTGAAAATCAAATAAAAAAGCCAACAAGGTAAAAAATAACAAAAGAAAACAAAAAGCCTATGCACACACAAATCTGGAGTCTGTTTTGTGTTGGCCTTCTGCTTCTGGACATGGCACTTCCCTGAAGTGTGGTTGATATAGTGACCATCCAGTGACATTACATTAGAGAAAACTGACACGTAGGAACTCACAGAAGACCACTGCAGCACATACGTGACCTGTCCAGGTTCAAATCAGATAAAATTTCAGCACCAAAAAAGGGAGGTGGATACAAAGTTCCACTTAACCAAAAAGCTATTTGCAATTGTTACCAACTGTCCTTTTCATCTTAAGGGATTATTAGGCCAGATATTGCCTGAGGCCCAATACTATTTTGAGGGAAGCTTGCCTTTGGGTGTAATATTTTGTGAAAACTAATCTACAAAAGGCTTAATTATGCAACTCTTGCTGGGTGGTGGTGGTGGCAGTGCACACCTTTAATCTCTCAGCATTTGGGAGGCAGAGGCAAGCTCACTGATTTCAAGACCAGCCTGGTCTAACAGGTGAGTTCCAGGACAGCCAAGGCTATGGAGAGAAACCCTCTCTCGGCCCCTCCGCCCCATACCAAAAACCTGAACAAAACAACAAAACCTTCTATCTTAATAATTATGAGCTTTTACGTTGACACTGACATTCTTTTGTATAGGAGTTAAAGTTCCTCGGAATTTTCGCTTGTTGGAAGAACTTGAAGAAGGACAGAAAGGAGTAGGTGATGGTACCGTTAGCTGGGGCCTTGAAGATGATGAAGACATGACACTTACAAGGTGGACAGGCATGATTATTGGGCCACCAAGGGTCAGTGCTATATTATACATATTTATTGTTTATTTTGAGTGAATGTTTAATTTTATTGGTAATAAAAGACAATTGTGATAACTTTTGACAGGAAGAATTCCTGCATCTTAGTATGTTTTATGTGCATTTATTTATTGATATCTCTTGTTTGAAGGGTATAAGCTTGGAGAACTGGGATTGAGGAGGAGTGGCATGGTTGTTGCCCCCAAAGTGTTTGTGTTTTAGTAGAGAAGAAAACAAATAAACAAACAAAAAACCAGTCCAAGTGTTAGATTTTAATATGGCTGAGCAAGTTCATCATGTTTCTTCTACTGGAACAAATTGAGGAAGGCTGAGCAGAAAAGGAAGTTGCCTTTGGAATGGGCTATAAAGGACTGATTGGTAGGATTTTTGAAGGTTGAGACCTGTGGGAATAAAGGACATTCTGTGTCAAAGAGGAAGTGGAGGGGATATTTGGAAGAGTGTCACATGTTGCCTGCTCTCTTATGTGACTGAAGATCTCTAGATTGGCTTGCAGTGATTACATATTGCTTCTGCCCTCTTTCACAGGCCTGAGTGGGATATTAGAGGTCTAAATACCATAATTTACAAGATATAGCAGCAAATTTAAGACACTGGAGGTAATAGTGTAGTTGTAGAACATATGAAATTAGAATGCATACCACGTGTGGTTTTCAGCAGCAATAAAACAAAATAGCTAGGATTCTTTTTTTTTTTTTTTTTTTGAGTTAGGGTTTCTCCAGAGATCCACCTGCCTCTGCCTCTCAAGTGCTGGGATTAAAGGTGTGCACCAAAATTGCCTGGCTAAGATTCGTAAATATTTTCTAGTACTGTTATTGATCTCTTGTGTATTTGTTCTTCAGTCTTTCTCAGAATTGTCTGAAGTATTTTTACATAGTTTTTTCCTAGATGGAGATACTTTTTTCTATAGTGCATTCTTTAGTTAGTAGTCTTATTCAGTGTGTTCAACACAAATTTGAAAGATTTATTTGTTTGCTTGTTTATTGTGATACTGGGATTAAACCTAAGGCATCACCCATGCTGGATATGTGTGCTACCACTGAGCTGTGTCCCCAGACTTTTTTGCTTTTATTCTGAGACCCAATCTCAGCATCCTCCAGGCTGACTGTGAACTCAGTCTGTGGACCAGGTAGACTTTGTACTTTAATCCTGCTAGTTCAGCCTTCTGAGTAGTTTAGGATCATGACCTCTTCCATGAGGACTGATTTTTTTTTTCTCTCTTACCGTCTGTTGGAAGAAGACCTGTTCTCTTTAGATAGAATTTAGATTTTTTTCCTGTTTATTAAAAAATGTAATTAGCAATGTTAGACAAGTGTATTCTGTGGCATTTGCTGGTGTTCCTTTGCAGTCCTTTATACCAAGTCTGTTAAGAGCATACAGTGTGCAGATTTCATGTGCACTCCTGAGAGCCTCCTTCTGACTTCTCTGATTCTTCCATAAGATATTTGAGACAGGAAATAGAAGGTTGGTGGTTAAAAGACTTTATAACTTGGTATTTGTGATGAAAACTGATTTTTTTCACTGTTTCTAAGCATTATTATGTTAGTCTAGCTAAAAGAAAATTAAAAGCAAGTAGTTTTAACATTCTGGCTTAGACTTGGTAAAAATATAAGTTTGGAATTGTTTAGATTGTTTCTTCTCCAGCCACTACCCTCAGTAGACTATATCTGAAGGATGTGCTGGGCCTGTGTCCTGCATACAGACTCTTAGCATAGTTTCCTGATAGGGAGGAAATGCTGTAGCTCCTACTTTATTTCTCTCCATTTGGGTCTCCAGTGGGATTCCCAAGCTACTTGCTTTTTCTGGTGTAAAGGCTGTTTGTGTAGCTCTTGTCTCTTATCTCACTGAGACACAGTAGGTCATGGACCTTCTCCTCTGTTGGGTCATTGCATTCGAGTTGTGTGTGTGTGTGTAATAAGGCTTATGACTGAGGTGTATCATAAAATGAAATATACATTTATTTCATTAGAGTTTTACATGATAAGGTAGGTTTTATAGAATTTTATACTGCTTAATTAAGAGTGAACAGTTTAGAATATGTTTGTGCAAAGAGAGCCTAATCTAGTAGTACTGAATAGAGTGAGAGGAACTGAATAAGGTCCATTACGTTTTTTTCTATTCCTTTCTTTTCAGAGATGAAAATTGTTTTCTGACTGTAAGGATGAGATTTATTGGCCTACTTTAGGATATGCCTGCCAGGTTTTGTGATCTGATTCAGGGAAGAAGAGGACAAGGATCTGCTTCTGTTCATTTTTTTTTTTGTTCTTGTTGTTTGCTTTTAGGGGGGCAGAGTCTTGCTGTGTAACGTAGGCTAGTTTCAGACTTGAAGTGATCCTCTTGCCTCAGCCTTCCTAATGCTGGTATTACAATTATACTGCCATACCTGGAATTTTTTGTTTTTAATATAATTTTTTTTAGATAATCTGATCTGCATTCAAATTGAAGAACCATGAAAAAGATTCTCTCTTGAGAACTGTTTGATTTCACTCAGTTTTATATAGTACCAATTTGCTGGGTGTATGACTGTTAACTGTCAAATTTGGGTGAGTTTTATAGAGCTCTTTCAAAATATTGAAGTGTTTAATAACATGTATCAGATTGTTTCATAATTTTATATTACAGCAGTTCAATGTTACATATCTGAACTCTACTTGATAATAGCTTTCATTTATTAAAGCTAACTGTTTGAATGAGCTCTGTACTTGTTAATATGGCTTATTTTCTTCCTAGTTTTATATAGGCGTCAATTTACTATGCAGTATCCTATTTCAGAACTGTACTAGTGAGCAAAAGCTATAATGAGAAAGAAAAGCTAATTATTACATGAGAATAAACCTGAATGCCTTGAAGTGTAAGTCATAGCCTTCAAATTCCTGTTTTATAAGAAAGAATGTAGTATTAGCTAAACTTCATTAATTTAGAAACCATATTTGAAAATATGTATAAATATGATGTATACATTAATTCAGATAATAGAGTTAATAAACCACAGAATTCATTAAGTAGTAGTAAAGTAATGGGAAACAAAAAAATTTTTAATTGTAAGATGAGATATGTTATGATTTTCCTTTGCTGGAAGTAATTGCCTGCCTACCTGTGAAAAGTGATCATAATTTTTTAGCCAACAAATTCATGTGAGAATAAAAAGAGGCATCGTTAGTTTTACTGAAATAATAGAAACCAATGAGATTGTTCTGGGTGATGAAAGCCTTTATATATGTGTGACATAAACCACACACTTGTCCTTTCAGTATCTTTTTATTTTAAAGTAAAATCTAAATGTAAGTTGGTTTTTCTTTCTAATTTGTTATTGACACCATTTGTGTCACAAAAAATAAGTTCTGATTATTCTGATTCCACTTGGTAGAATTATTTTGGTTTCATATTATAATCATGAAAAATGCTTAGTGATTTTTTTCCCTAACTATATAGTTAAAATAGCTTTGTACAGAAGTTTGTATGCCATCACACACCATCATAACAAGTTTGTGCATACTACATTCTTCTTTGTTAACAGGTGGGTAGTAGTTTAGTTTTGTCATTATGATTGTGCCTTCTTTTTCCTATCTTTCCAGACAAACTATGAAAACAGAATATATAGTCTGAAGGTAGAATGTGGATCTAAATATCCAGAAGCTCCTCCATCTGTTAGATTTGTAACAAAAATTAATATGAATGGGATCAATAATTCCAGTGGAATGGTAAGTTATGGTAATAATTTTATTTTTATATAGCATATAATATATAGGCAAGAGTTTTCAAAGTTTTGTTCAGTTGAAAGAAAGAAGTTTGTCACTCAGGAGGTAGAAGCAGGGGGATTGGGAGTTTGAGGCCAACCTGGGCTACATAGTTGGTTCTTTTACCAAAAATAAAAAATAAAAATAAAGTTTGTCTTAGGTTGTTTTTTATGTCTTCTCCTCCCTTCAAGATATAATGTTACCCAATAGCTAGCTCCAGACTAGCCTTGAACTTGAACCAGTCCTCTGCTTCAGCACTCTGAGTGTTAGGAATATAAGCATTCAGCCGCCAGACCTATCCTTACAATCTTCTGGTGTTAAAAACTAACTTTTTTTTCTTAGAATTTTATTAATTGCATCCATTTAGATTAGTTTGAACTAATCTTCTCTTGATGAAAAGGCTTACTATTCTTTAATTATTTCTTTCTTTAGTGGTACCTTTTGAGATTAAAAGAATGAATTTTCATAAAGTTTTTCTTTGAGGAACAAGTATGTCTGTTTGATTATTCTTGGCTAAGCATGGTTGACACATTAAAGTGGATAACAGAAAGAGTAAGTTGTTCTCACCTATACAAGTTAGTAGGGTAGCTGATTTTCTAAGGTGAGTAGATTGTTGGTTAGGTTCCTAGGACTTTGGACTCATGCTCTTAGGGTGCTGTGTTGAGAGCACACTCAGTGCGAAGTATATGCTAGGGAGCAGAATAGCATCAGCATAGTAGGGTGAATTTCATCCTTCCTGGGAAGGAAGACTGTCAACATTCTTGACTCCATCTGTGTCCCCTCTCCCTACCAATAATTGTTATATCTTTTCTCCCCCCCCACTTTTCTTTTATTATTAAAAGTCACAAGTTTATGCTAATACTATTAGAAACAAAGAATAATTTTGGTGTCACACAAAGGTACATGTGAGCAAAGCAGAAGTAGCTGGGCATTGCCATTCTTTCTTCACAAATGGTACACCAGAACACAAACCTTGCTACCAAGCGTACGTTGACAAGATATTTTCCATCTTTTATTCTTGACATAGGTGATAACTATGTCTTGTCCTATTGGTGCATGCTCAACTCCACATCTGAGGAGATTGACTGATTGGCACCAAGGGAAGGTTTAGGAAATAGCAGTCCAAAAAACTACCTTTGGAGCCAGAGTTGTGCTACCATTGTGCCTCAAGTCCTTCTCCTTGGGGAGGAGAGGGTTTGATTTCATTTTCTACTCCCAGGAAGCAGTTCGTCACTGAAAGACATCAGGGCAGGATCTCAAGGAAAGAACTGCAGCAGAACACTGGGAGAATGCTCCTTACTGGTTCATCTCTCTGACTTGCTCAGCTAAGTTTCCTGCATAGCCCAGGCCAACTTGACCAAGAGGACACTGTACACAGTACTAGCTCACCTTCAATTAGCAATGAAGAAAATGCCCCATAGACTCGCCCACAGGCCAGTCTGGTCGAGGCACTTCCTCAGTTGAGGTTCCCCCTTCCCAGATGTTTCTTGTTTGTTTAAAATTTGCAAAAATTAATCAGCACAAAGTGCGTTAAAGTGAAGGTGTGCTCATGTGGAAGTCAAGGACAACTTTCTGTGACAGTGGATCCTCCACCAGATGAGCCGTATTTCCTGCTTCCCACAGTCCCTACAGAGCAAGTAGCCAGGATAACTACCACTATTATTTTGGTTCAGTTTAACTGTGACTTTTTGATAAAATGGCTGGCCAGATGTTGCAATGAAGTAGAGCATCAGGTTAAAATCTAATATCATTTGTCCTTTATTATCCTTTGGCTTTGGCCGAAGATGTAACCTTCTCTTTAATTTAGCAGGTGTCGTTGCCGTGTGTACTGCTGTGTTTACACTGTGCAAGTCTGCATGGATGTACACATATCTCATTTTGTTTGTTATAATGAACAAGCCAGTTTGAGCTACTACATACTGAACTGTAACAATGGAATTTGTCATTTTTAGTGTTTAAAATTCTCTGCACCACTGCTGAGCAATTAGGTTAATTTTAAGTTTTCACTGAAAAGTTTGTTGCAATGAGTGTTAAAAGTTTTTGCGTATATGTGTGCAAATATGTGTGTGTATGAGTGCACACTTGTGTCACAGTCAGGAGGACAGCTAAGAGGAGTCAGATTTTTCTTTCTACTGTATAGTTTCCTGCAGTCAAACTCAGGTTGTCAGGTTTGGTGGTGAGCGCCCTGTAGTGAATAGTTTTACACAGTATTTTATGCTGTTTAGCCTAGCGCATTCATTGGTTTACTTATTTGGTTCTAATCTGTTATGTGTTTGTACTTTTATAAAACAATAGGAAAATTACTAGGAAAATGAAATAAAAAGATAGACAAAATACTAGTTCCAATTTTGGGGATAGGAGTGCACCTAGTCATACAATTTGGGCTATTGGTGTTATTTTTCTGTAAGCATAGGGTGTGACTGGCATTGCCTCTACGGATCTGCCTTTAACAGTATTGGCTCTAAAGTTATCTTAGGCCCCAATAAAACTCACATTGTACTTCCAGTTTCATTAACTAAAGCTCAACCAGGAAGTGGTTAAATGAACTTCAGTCAGCTTTGGGAACTTTGCTTTTTGATCCATTTGTTTCAATTTAAAAAAAGCAAAAAAGAAAAGTTGAAATACTTGTTTATTATAGAGACTTACAAAAATACCAGTAATGAAGGGAAAACTTGCATACTCATCCCAGTACTCACAGTATGACTGATTAATTAGAGCTGTTTGAAATTAGAGCAAAGGAAATAAAGGAAAATGGAAGGAGTAGGCCGATTAAATCTCTGAGACTACTGCATAGTGTTTATGTGAATAAAGATTTTTTTCAGTTGTGTGTGTGGGGACATTAAAATATTTTCATAAAGATGGAAGGTATAAAAAGATTTGAATTCTTTGTTATAGACTAAGTTTTTCAGTATTTGACAGAAGACTAGTATTTAATGTTTCTTACACTAGAATTGACCCTAATTTTCTCCAAGAACAGCCAGTATTTGCTGAACATCTCTTTAGCCCTTAAATACAAATTTTAAATTGAGAAAAATATTTTTCTACTAAGTAATTTTAATAAACACCCAAGTAGATGAATCTTTTTTTTTATTGCGAAAAGAAGAAAAAAAAACATAAACAAAAAACAAGTTTCCACCTCCTCCCAGCCTCCCATTTCCCTTCCCCTCCTCCCACCCTTCTCCCCCTCCTCCCACCCTTCTCCCCCTCCCCCCACTCCTCTCCCCCTCCCTCTCCAGTCCACAGAGCAGTCCGGGTTCCCTGCCCTGTGTTAAGTCCTAGGTCCTCTCCGTCCATATCTAGGAAGGTGAACATCCAAACTGGCCAGGCTCCCACAAAGCCAGCACATTAAGTAGGATCAAACCCCCCTGCCATTGTCCTTGGTGTCTCATCAGCCCTCATTGTTCGCCATGTTCAGAGAGTCCGGTTTTATCCCATGCTTTTTCGGTCACAGTCCAGCTGGCCTTGGTGAGCTCCCCGTAGATCAGCTCCTCTGTCTCAGTGGGTGGATGCACGCCTCGTGGTCCCGAATTCTTTGCTCATGTTCTCCCTCCTTCTGCTCCTCATTGGGACCTTGGGAGCTCAGTCCAGTGCTCCTGTGTGGGTCACTGTCTCGATCTCTATCCATCACCAGATGAAGATTCTATGATGATATGCAAAATATTCGTCAGTATTGCTCTAGGATAGGGTCATTTCAGGTTCCCAATCCTCAGCTGCCCAAGGAACTAACTGGGAACCTCATCTTGGGCACTAGGGAGCCCCTCTAGGGTCAAGTCGCTTGCCCACCCTAAAGTGGCTCCCTTAACTAAGAATTGTGGTTCCGTGCTCCCCTATCCACCTTTCCTTAATCCCAATTCTCCCGTTTCCCAGGTCCCCCCTCCTTCCCTTCTACCTTTTCTCTCCCCATCTCCCCTTACCCCCATCCCACCCCCCCCCCCCCAAGATCCCATTTTCTCCCCGGAAATTTGGTCTACTTCCCTTAGCGAAGAGGACAACTATATGTTTTTCCTTCGGTTCACCTTCTTCCTTAGCTTCTTTAGGTTCACCTATTGTAGACTCCGTGGTCCTTATTTATGGCTAGAAACCAATTATGAGTGAGTACATCCCATATTCATCTTTTTGGGTCTGGGACACCTCACTCAGGATAGTGTTTTCTATTTCCATCCATTTGCATGCAAAATTCGAGAAGTCATTGTTTTTTACCGCAGCGTAGTACTCTAGCGTGTATATATTCCATACTTTCTTCATCCATTCTTCCATTGAAGGGCATCTAGGTTGTTTCCAGGTTCTGGCTATTACAAATAATACTGCTATGAACATAGTTGAACAAATGCTTTTGTCATTTGATAGAGCATCTCTTGGGTATATTCCCAAGAGTGGTATTGCTGGGTCCAGGGGTAGGTTGATCCCGAATTTCCTGAGAAACCGAAACACTAACTTCCACAGTGGTTGCACAAGATTGCATTCCCACCAGCAATGGATGAGGGTACCTGTTCTTCCACAGCCTCTCCAGCAAAGGTTATCCTTGGTGTTTTTGAGTTTAGCCATTCTGACAGGTGTAAGATGATATCTCAAAGTTGTTTTGATTTGCATTTCCCTGATTGCTAAGGAAGTTGAGCACGACCTTAAGTGTCTTTTGGCCATTTGAACTTCTTCTGTTGAGAATTCTCTGTTCAGTTCAGTGCCCCATTTTTTAATTGGGTTAATTAGCATTTTAAAGTCTAGTTTCTTGAGTTCTCTATATATTTTGGAGATCAGACCTTTGTCTGTTGCGGGGTTGGTGAAGATCTTCTCCCAGTCAGTAGGTTGCCTTTGTGTCTTAGTGACCATGTCCTTTGCTTTACAGAAGCTTCTCAGTTTAAGTAGGTCCCATTTATTCAATGTTGCCCTTAATGTCTGTGCTTCTGGGGTTATACATAGGAAGCGATCTCCTGTGCCCATCTGTTGTAGGGTATTTCCCACTTTCT